TTTTGCTGCTAAAGTGGCTCTCAATCCCCAGGGTGCAGGGTCACATAAACCACTGCACCAATGGTAGTTTCTGAATAGTCCTCAAGGGCAGCCCTAAGAAAACACACTGCAAGGTAATAAATATGTAAATTGCTAAGGCCTCCCTAAGGCTGGTAATTTTCAGAACTACCAAAACTGGCTGAAGTCACCTTTGGCCACAATCTTAATCTGTTGCTCTGTAGGAATTATAAATTCAATTCCCAAAATATAAACCTGTTACTTCAGGACAAGTGGTATCCCAGAATTAGTGTAAGAAATGACAGCAAGCCAGATAGGTTTCTGCACAAACAGCCACTCTCTGCTGGAATGAAATCCCTTATTGCTCCCAGACATCGAGTAAGATCAGCCACAACATCTCTTATTCAGCCCTGGTGGAAATATATCAATAACCTCAACAGATCCATTACAGTCTCAACAACTTTGTTCATCCACTTATGGAATGGTTATCATTTCCCTTTTCAGTGACCAGTTAGTAAAATCCACCACTGTGGTCTCTCCTTTTTCCCCACATGAGTTGGTTCTGACAACCTTTGAGGTGATGTGGCAAATCTAGGGAACCACCTTTGTACTTTCCACTCAGGTTCTCCATAGGATTAGCACAATTATAGCTTCACCTGAGGCAGGCATGTCCTGCATGCTAGCCTGAGACTTCATTGTTTAGGGAACATTTGAAGGTAGGCCTTCTTAGGCATAGACCGGCATGCCATCCTCTCCTGATGATGCTCCCTTTACATGTTCTAAATCCCTTGAACACTCATCTACATGCTATCTCTCCTTCTCTTGCTTTGGGCTTAAAAGCTCTCTACCCCTGAGCTACTGATGCCACTGCTCAATTTCCAAAATCCAGCAATGGATCAGAGGCTGTTCCTTCCTGCACTTTGCATTTCCCTAAACTAGCCAAGTCCTGTTTTGCTTAGTATCCATCATGCTTAGACTATCCTAGAATTGAAGGGCTGGAAAGAACCCAATTACAGCCATGCAAAAGATATCTTACTAAAGGGGTGAAGAGAACAAACAGAAATCAAGACCCACATTTGGAGTAATATCCATTTTGCCTTTTTCAAAATATCATCAGTTACTTACGTTTAGTTGGTCAGGACTTTGGATCAATAAGAAGTTCTACATCATCTCAGGATCTGGTAAGGCCATTCTCCAAACTTATAGTTGACCTTTCTAGTCTTAACATCAGTCAAACTACCTGTTCTTGTAATGTTATTCAAAATCAGCAAGTGGAAAAATAGTGCATTTTTATAAAGAATCTTTTGCCTTAGATATCACAGTGAATTCACTGTCAATTATCTCCATTTTCACATTACACAAACAAGACATTATAAATGATGTAGACTGTGAGGCTATACAATATTATATAGTATTTTCTCCAATGCTGAATTCATGCAAATTACATATACAACATTCTTAATGCATTTTATGTCAATCTGTGTGTGCTATACTACTTATGCCTTTTGTTCCTCTGCACCTAGCTTCCTACATTAATATAGACAACTGTGATATTTACAGGTTTATCACAAGCCAATATCCAACATTAAAATCTAGTATCATTGCTTCGCTTCCATATAATAAAACAGTGTTTTGTGGTATGTTCATCTATATTTAAAATAGGCATAGAAACCAGCCTGTGATTTCAGTATAAATTCTACTAACAAGCAAAAATTAAGATGGTTAACTGGACCATTGTTTAATTTAAGTGTCTGACTTTGCACTGAACTGTACTGGTCAGTTTCACGAAGGTGCCTAAGCCACCAACCACCCAAGCACATTTGATTTAACATGTTGTTCTGCAAACTTAATCTAGAGATCTGGCTTGGATTCCTATCATTCATCACTGTTTCTTGGTCTCAACAATTCACTCTTTCTAAATAGAAAGCCATTGCTGCCAACCCAGTTCCTGCCTTTGCTTTTCTACTACAAAACCCCTCAACCCAACCATGAAAATGCTGAAATTTTCTGCTGGTGCTGCAATAATATTAAGGAAATAACAAACATCCAAACTATATCGTTTTGATGCTTTCAGGTCAGAAAGAGCTTGTCCCTCACAACCTTTGGCTATTTAACAGAATGACAGAGTGAAAGGGACCTTGGAGGTCATCTAGTCAAGTAAATGGTTGTCCAATCTCTTCTTAAAAACTTCCAGTGTTGAAGCATTCACAACTTCTGGAGGCAAGTTGTTCCACTGATTAATTGTTCTAACTGTCAGGACATTTCTCCTTAGTTCTAGGTTGCTTCTTTCCTGAATTAGTTTCTATCCATTGCTTCTTGTCCTGCCCTCAGGTTCTTTGGAGAATAGGTTGATCCCCTCTTCTTTGTGGCAACTCCTGAGATATTGGAACACTGTTATCATGTCACTCCTAGTTCTTCTTTTCATTAAACTAAACATACCCAATTCCAACAACCATTCTTTATATATTTTAGCCTCCAGTCCCCTAATCATCTTTGTTGCTCTTCTCTGCACTCTTTCTAGAATCTCAACCTCTTTTTTTACATTGTGGTGACCAAAACTGGATGCAGTATTCCAAGTGTGGTCATACCAAGGCATTGTAAAGTGGTATTAACACTTCATGTGATCTTGATTCTATCCCTCTGTTAATGCAGCCTAGAACTGTGTTGGCTTTTTTGGCAGCTGCGGATTTGTGGTTCAGGATATAAACCTGGTATAGTAACTCTAGTCGCTGGGATGTTACCTGATATCAGTGTACTATAAATGATCACTGGCATCAACGCCAACAGTGCTTTGGTTTTAAAATTGGTATTCAACATATTCAATAAAAGAACAGCTAATGGAAACTAACTATTATGGGAATCAGAGCCATTGTCAGCCATAGCCATGGGAAGAATAGTAGGTCTGTCCTAAAAAAGTGACACCATTTTTTGATTTCAAACCTCATTAGGCTCTTTAAGCATAGTTAATGAGATTGTAGGAGATGTAGCTCAAAACTTTGGAAATATTAGCTTCAGCAGCAGTAAATCAACCAAATGACTGAAGGAATAGCTCAGCATTGACAAGGTAACATGATGAAGGCTCGGTGCATATTTTAATCTAAGAAAAATATGTGATTGTGCTTTACTGTACAAATCCAGCTGCAATTTAAAAAAAAAACATGGTTTGATTCAGCACATTGTCCAAATCAAACTTATTTTTTCATAAACTATTCAAGCCACCCAATGTTGCTAACTATCCCACTGGACATTTTAAGTTTCAGCTTAACACTCACAGCCAGCTTTGAAACTCAATGCATTGTAACATAGGGAAAAAATGCCATCTGTTCTTCTACTAATCCACGGTTACTTTCCAAGGCATGAAAATTCAAGTGTGCCAATTTATAATCCCTTCCTGCAATATTCTTCTATTTGCACACTGACAACCCATATCTCATCCACCTTCTATCACAGATGTATTGCTCATTACAGAGATACCTCCTCTTCACATGGCCCATTCCAAAATCTACCACAAACTTCAGATAGCAGACAAACTAGGTAAGATTGTATTGTCTTTTGTGTACTACATGGCTGTTTTTAATATCAAGTTTACATATTTCAACATACCTAGATAGTTCCAAGAATGTAAAAACAATTACTTTCATTTAGGCAGTACCTTTTTTTTTTAAACCAATACAAGCATTTGACTACCAAAGTTTGCTACAAAAGATTTTTAATAAAGGAGGGATTAATGGAAAAATAAAAAAACAAGCCAAATTACAACTCACATTTATTAACAGCAAGGGTTCAGGTTTATAAATGGCATTTCAGTTAAAGACGGAAGCTTAAAAAGCTTTAAGACAGCTACAGAACACCTACTTTTTTAAAGTTCACTATCATGGAACATGGTGCACATTTTTAATTTCTATTTAGGTGAATATTTTCCATTGATAAATCAGAATGCAAAATTGAAAGCATTTAAAACCTGAATGTCAGTGTTAACTAAAGTCACAAATCTGATAAAGGCCCATTATAAAAGGATTTTTTTTTTCAGCCTATTAGGTCTGCTGCAAAGAAAAGATGCAACCTGGAATTAAAGGGAAACTTCCTAACAGTAAGAACAATTAACCAGTGGAAAAGCTTGCCTTCGGAAGCTGTGGGCACTTCATCACTGGAGTTTTTAAAGAAGAGACTGGACAGCCAGTTGTCTGAAGTGGTATAGGGTCTCCTGTTTGAGCAGGGGGCTGGACTAGAAGACCTCCAAGGTCCCTAACAGCTCTATTCTATATCACTGGCATAAGGGTGTCCTAGCACCCATATCAAGCCTGCAAGGAGGTAACTTCTGCATAGAGCTCATGCTTATACCATTATCAATATTTGTACATAACAGAACATAATTTACTGATTATTGCAGAAGTATCTTCACATAGTCATTACAAAATTTCAAAGTTATTTCCTGATAACTGCAACTTATTATTTTGCAACATGAAGCTACAGAGTCAGAAAAAAAAGTTGTCCATTGTTTTAAAATGAAATTTACATCTGGTAGTTATAATAGTTTCAAGACAACCAGCTTCAATCGCTTAAAGTAAATATAAAAATTAAGCTATTGAGAAAGTTAGCAATAAGACCATCTGTGCCTAAACACTTGTCATAAAATTTTTTATATTAACTTTAACACAGGAAAGAATAAACAAGAATGACCTCCAAGGTCCCTTCCAACTTTACTACTATTATTATTATAGATATAGCATGACATGGTATTTACTCCCTTTGTTAATTTAGAGAAATAACTGCTTTATTTTTGTCAAACCAAAAAAAACCCTCCCACAATTCATGGATAATTTTTCTACTTTGAAAAGAAAGAAAACCTTTTAATTTCTTTTGCAGAACAGAAAAAGCTAGGAACAACAAGTGCTGCATTAGAATTATCTGCTTTTGCATTCCACACTTTATTTTTCAAGTAATTGGCAATTCACAATTAGGGAAAATACCAAACTACAAGGATCATTACATCACAATGGGTTTTAACGACATGTACAAGTTTTCACTATCATATTGCGATATTCTTTGTATATAATTGATCCATCAGCCTCCATCTTCAAAACACTCAAAGGACTGTAGTCAGCCGGAATGCAGGAAAGTTCAGGGATGGAAGGATCCAGTTTTTCACGAAGGATATTCTGGACCACTGCATGCACAGGAGAACCATAGCGATGGCCCACTACCCTTGGACAGTCACCTTTGCAATAGTGAGGATTGTATCTATGTGGTGCAATTATCCATTTGTCCCAGTTCAGTTGACTGAATTCCAGCCAAAAGCTGTGAAGCTCACATTCATTTTGAGGAAAAGGGAACTGGTTGTAATACTGACTTATGTTAAATATTGGAACTGGAGTGTTTTTCATTTTCCCATCTTCTTCTCTTCGATGACGAGGTGCCCTTCTTCCCTGTTTAAGGCCTTTCCTGGCCTTTTCACCAGGAACTGTGAAAGGACCCTTTTTCAGATTAGATTTAAGGTTCCTTCTGATTTGGAGAAAATTCCGTCTGTGATAAGCGTGCTCACCAGTGTCAACAGTATAAAAGAGAAGAAAAAGTGATCTTTGGGACATATTGAAGAAATCATATTTAAAGTTGGGAGAATGTTCATTTTTCAAGCAGGTGAAATTCACAGCCATATGGATGTTTCCTTTCTTGGCGACTATCAAAGGGTGAAGAATAGTGGTCACATCAATCTCAATCCATTCGCATCTAAGTTCCAAATGCAGGTTGAATACATGTGGAACACTGATGCACACTTGACTGGAGGCATCCCTTTCCTGAACAATCACGTTGTAAATACATGTAAGATTTGAGGCTGTAGAAACAGACTCATCAAATGAGAAGAGCAAGACTGACTTGAGCAAGTGCTCTTGGACAGTAACCCAATCCAAGTTGAAAAACAGGTCTACTGAATGAAGATCTCCTGCAAAGAGATTGAAGAAAAGAATGTTTAAACAAAGCAATCCTACACCCCCAGTTTGCTTCTCTTAATCACTTTATACTTGACAGCAATTAATCTCAGTAAGACTTTTGATTAGGCATACATTTTTTTTCTCAGCAAATGGCAAGGAAGGCAGTCATTTTAGAGTGGTGGCCATTTTGAATACCCATTTTAAAAAAAGGTTATCAGTATAAAGCTTTGGAGAAACAAAACAGCCACATTATTAGCATTTTACTAAGAAAAGGTAATTTTCCAACTATAGCAAAATATATATTTTTACACTATTAAAAGAAACCCCAAAGATGTACACCATCCCATTTTACATGGAGGAACAAGCAAGAAGCGGAAGGATTCCCTCAGACCCGTATTTTGACAAGGGGCAAAAAAAAATTAGTTAATCCAAACAAAGTTTTCACATACTATTAGTAGAGGGATGCTTGCATTCAGCCTGTGGTGTGACAAGGCGGACGGTGTTGTAGAGATGCCTTTTGTTGCCCTTAAGAACACCTTCCTTGGTAGCAAACTTTTTATACAGGTTCTTCATGTATCTCAGACCTCTAGAATCTGGAGATAGTCTTGAGATATCCAAGCCCTGGGGATTGTGGCCAGACAGCAGCTTAAAAAGAGGGGCATATGGATCTTGGCCATTTTCTTTGGGAAGAAACAGCGATGGAGGAGATATCTCAGAGTCCTGCACCTCTGACAGCAGTAATGGCTGAGAAGTCCCTTCATGTCTCAAACTGGGGGAATACAAGACCCCATGAAAAAACAATCCGTTCAAGTAGAAACAAATAAAGAGTCCCCTCCAAAGCTTCATGATGAGAATTAGTTAGGCAAAGTAACTATCTCCCTCATAACAGATCAAACCCTCAAAAAAATGAAGCAGCTCCTTCTAGCCTCTTAAATAAAGCTGCACTAATTAGACACTAAGGAAAGACACACACCTGATGGTGTCATCCCATTTACTTCAGGCTTGTGGATAAGTTTAAGTGACAGCCCCTTTCCCCTATGGTTTAGTAACATTAAAACTAGATTAACTAAAATAATTTGGAACATGTGGTGAAATGTATGCTGTGACACTGTAACACTTTCCAGAAAGTAAAAGCCTGTAGTTCAAAATAGAACTTCCTTGTGAAAAGAGAGATTTAAACTTGTGCTTAAGGTTAGTTAGACCTGATTTTACAACTACAGCTGTGCTTAACTTTAGTGCCAGATGCTAGAAACATTTAATTTGATAATCCTGTGCATGTTAAAGAAACATTCACAGATTACTGTTGGTTTGGGATGTGCTTTTCATTTCATTGGTCTTTCAAGTGAAGACAAGCAAATAGGGAATAATGAGTTCCTGGAGGGTAGAAAGGGTCAATATTACCACTGTATAACTTGTTTTATTTTATGATAAGGTGAATAAAATAAACAGGCTCTTTTATTTATTTATTTTAAAAACCTCTACAATTTTAAGAATGATAATAATGATCCAGTATAAAATAACTTTTTCTGCGTAAGCCACAATGAATGGCAAGATAATTTCATTATAGAGTTTTCCATAATGAAATGGAAGGGAAAAATGAACTGCAGATGCTGCTGCTTGTTTTTTATTAAAAGAACTTATAGTGGTTGGAAAAAGGAGGCAAAGAAATAGAATAAACAGCTTTCCAATCAGTTCCTCCAGCTGCCTCCAGAAGTTGTGAATGCTCCAACAATGGAAGTTTTTTTTAGAAGAGACTGGACAACTATTTGTCTGAAATGGTATAGCTTCTCCTGCTTGAGCAAGGGGTGGACTAGAAGATTAGAAGACCTACAAGGTCTGCTCTACTCTACTCTACTCTACTCTACTCTACTCTACTCTACTCTACTCTACTCTACTCTATAGCTGAAAAATTATTACTGAAGATTTCTAATTAGAATCCTTGGCAAATCTAGCAAGCAAGCCTAACTCCTGAGTAACAGTTTCTACCAAGTTCCAATCTATAGTTAACGCAGAGGAGAAATCCAAAGACCCTCATAATGTTTCATTATGCAGTTTCACAATACAGTGACTGGATAGATAGATTGGCTAGTTAGCTAATGTGTTGTGTACCAGTATGTGCCTTTTGTCTCTTCCAAACAAATTACATATTGTTTGGAAGACTTCCTTCTAAGTTCCCTTGATAGAGAGGAGTTACCACAAGATGAGGAGCAAAAAATATTCTTCAACGATCCAAAACAGCATATGTAGTGCTTTGAATCTGTAAACTGGATTTCAAATCACATTAAGGCTAAAGGTATTCCCTGCTATGGCTGTTAGCCTCAAAGGTACTGGGATTTTCTTACAGATCTCCAATTTGATTTTCATACCTTATAGTATTTTTCCATATTTATTTAGAAATACTTCACAAGAGCATTCTGCTGTCCTTACTCAATAATGAACATTTGTCATGCAATTTTGAGTTTTTTTTAAGCTGTGTATTCTGCAGGTTGTTTTTTATGTTTTTAGTATTTTATTTACATAATGTTATACATTTGTATATTTGATTATTGTTTCTTTGGAATTTACACAAAATGTAGAGGTTAAAGATTCTTTCATGTTGACTGAAACTCGTTATAACTATTGATTTATTAAATACATTTCTATCCTACCATAATTTAAAAAAAAACCTATCTGTGCATGCTATAGACATGTAGTGGAGATATGTAGGTTTTATTTGGAAGTAATGTACAACTGGTTGCCATTGGTCTCTTCCAGAATGTTTTTGTTTAAAATTCCAATCTAGTTTCCAGCTCTGAGTTTTCCTAGTCTCTAGGTATGGGTGTGTGAGTGGAATTCAGTTGTGGTTGGCAGAAATTCCTTAAATAATAAGGAATAATAAGGAAGTTGTATAATCTGAATTTTTTTCTGTCTATTTAAAGGGTTTTGTTCAGAGAATTATAGTTAGAGAATTGATCACTAGCATTTAAAATGTTCTTTTGTGATATGGGGCTATTCAGAATAGGGGCGCTTCTCCTCCAGAAATGAGCAGCTTCTGTAGGTAGACTTTATGAGTTTATTACATTGTAAAGTCTGTAGTCTCTATGCATTTTTTATTTCTGAAATTCTCAGGATTTCCAGATAACTTAATTCCAGGCATTGTTTATGGCAGAGGTCTAGAGCAGGGCTTTTCAACCTTTTCACCCATTGTACCACTTTTAGGATATGGCAATATCCGAGTACTACCAGTTACCTAGTAAGGTGTCAAAAACTTGATGACCCCAAAGAAACAAGGAAAAAAGTGATACAGTACAGGTAGTCCTCGACTTACAACAGTTCGCTTAGCGACTGTTTGAAGTTACAATGGCACTGAAAAAAGTGCCCCCCAAGGCACAGCCAAGCAAGACACCTGCCTGCCCACCTGCGCTCTTCCTCCTGTCCGAGGTTTTCATTGTTGTGAGCATTTCTGTTGAGGATTGGCAGCGGGGGTGGGGGGGGTGTTTGGTTTTTATTTCCCCCATCTCCTGGGTGGTTGCAGCAGGTTTTGGTCACTTCACATGACCCTGGGATATTGTGACTATCATAAATATGAATCAGTTGCCAAGCATCTGAATGTAAATCACAAGACCCTGGAGATGCTGCAACATTCCAGCTGATTGGTGCTTCTTCTGGGCTCAGCAGAAGCATCAGGATCATTGCCGAGCTCCAGCTGGAGCCTGGCGCTGATCCTGGCGCTTCCACTGAGCCCTGACAGCCCCAAAGAAGCGCTGATCAACTGGAAAGCAGCACTGATCCTGGCACTTCTGCTGAACCCTGACAGTCCTGCAGCTCCAGCCATCTCTCACTCAGGCTTGTGCAGTGCTGCCACCAGTTCAGCTTATTCCCCTGCCCCGTTACCACTTTTCTAGGATGGTCGTGTACCACCTGCCAGGTGCCAATGTACCACAGGTGGTATCTGTACCACTGGTTGAAAAGCCCTGGTCTAGAGAATAGCTCATAGAGAGAGAGAGAGCTTAGTTAATGTTGAGGAGTCTATTTGCTTGCAGTGGAGAAAGGAAGCAAAGCTAATTGTGGGTGATGATACCACCAAAGCAAGTGCAATACCCACCATTTTTTCTTCCCTTTCCATCTTCATGTAGGCCCAACAAGCAGACAAGAGAACAACAGATTGCTTTGTCAGAATTGTAAATTGGCAATTACAAAGACAATAGAAATGAAGGACTGCACGTCACTTTAGCCTCAAGAAAGCACTGGAACTACAAAAAGTTTGTACTCTATTATAATAGCTTAGGAGGACCCTACCATTCCTTTCATCCTCCATTCAGTTTTAAGAGGAGTACACGATCAGAGAAGTTTCGCCTCCAAATAGACTTTATTCAAAGAATATTTTACGGCTATTTCTGGTGGGATCTCTATCAAGCCAAAGGAAGGAAGTTTGTCCTGACCTAGCCCCTAAGTCTCTTAAGAGATTGAATTACTCTCAGGCTCTGTTTAAAAGAACTGGGCTAGAACATAGCCTTTCTGATCTGCAAATATTTCGATAGTTCATCTACTTCAAATGGTTCTAGATTCAGTTATGAAAATCTTTCTCTTCCATTCCTTATTTTGTTCCACTTTAGTTCTGGCAAAAATTTCTTTTGCGTTCTTTACTCTGGACCCCTGTTTGATTTCTGCTGAAGTTCAGGCATGACAAGGACTTCTTGTTGCACTCTTACATGAGTTCATAACATTTTCTGATGAATCCATTATTTCCTTAAGGTATGTCTCAGTTTCATTGCCAGTTCATCTTTTCCTCACATAACTCTTGCCAGTATTGATGCTGCTTTGTGCTGGACTCTGCTCTATTTTGAAGGAGGCACTAGATTCCCTGTTTGGGCCCTGTTTGTAAGACTGGACGATCTCCGTCTCACAATTGTAATTTATTTCTTGTTTCCTAAATTCATTAAGAGATATCCAGTGATTCAAATACAGCTTCTCTATTCTTAGTCTTAGTAACCTTTGTGCTAGATTTAGGTTTGTGGCTGATGTCTTTTGATGAACAAACAATGCTAGATATGGATTTGGCCTTGCAGCATTTGCTTTTTTTTTTTCCAAAATAATTTTATGGCAGGTTCTACTTTGTACCATACAATGTTAAGTATTTGGATCCAAATCCCATCCTAGCTTGCTGTAAAAAACTTTTAGTACTCTAATGCTATGAATGGACTTTGTGCTTGATTTCTGCCAATTGTGGGATTATTATTCCTTCTTCCTAGAAACTGATGCCATTCTGCATAGATAAGGTCATGTCATGTTGAAACAACTGCATAATTTTTTTCAGTTCATAGTCCTTTGTTTCTTGACACCTTGTAATACCACAAATGTCAGATTCTAAGAAAAGTCATTTTCATTTTATTATCTTCATTGTAATTCCAGCAGATTCCTATGGATTGGATCATTATGATACTATATCAATGGATTCTATTTCAACTTCTACTGATCCCTCTAGTGAAACTTCTGGTAAAGATCATCCTCCTATGACTTCTTGTCACCTGTTGAATTGATCCCACATTCTGTCCCTATTTAATGTGATGTTTTTTTGTGTCTATTGTCAGTCATGAGCTTGTGGTATGTAATTATTCCCTTCAACATTGACCAGATTCTTGTTAGGTAGTCTAACCTAAACCAATGTTTCTTTTTTTCCCCCTTAGGACTTCTTCCCACTTCTAAAAGTTACTGAGGATCACAAAAGATACATGGGTTTTCATGGGTTATATTTATTAATATTGACCATATTAAAAATTAAAATTAATACACTTGCTGCCACTAGTACTTCTCATGATTTTTCAACATAGACTAGAAAATAAATTTGATTTTGTGGACCTATGAGAGAGTCTTGAGGGATGCACTGGGGATCCTTTATGCCTTGGAAGAAATATGTCTACCTATTGGTAGTATTAGCCAGGCAAACGAATGGGTTGTTGCATAAGCATGGCTTTATTAATTTAATCAATCAATTAATTGATTAATTAATTTACCTGGTTGCCCATTCCAAGTACCTGACTTTGGACAGCCAACAATAAAAAACAGAACAAACTTTGTGGGAAGATCATGTTTATTTGCGGGTTCATCCATGTTGGCATTTTGTTCAGTCCCTGTGACATCTGGCTCAGGTATAAAGTATAAACTGCACATTCCAAATTGTTCTCTTGACCCTAGTGTAGGCATAACCTAAACTGACAGCTGCTCACTTATTTAAAAAGCAGCAAACAAGTGTGCACATCAAGAAAAATGTTTTGAGGTACAAGCAAAGGGATACCTGAGTGTATTAAAGTAATAGTAAAAAAAAGAAAGAAAAGAACAATAGAACAATTAAAAGGACAATGAGAAGCGTTGTAGGAGACAAAGCCTCCACTGTGGCTAGACTTTCCATTTTTGAGGTAAGAAAGAAGCTAAGTGGGCTTTAGATGGAATTCAACCACTACATGGAGAGAGGAACTTGAATTGCTCTCTTTGATTAATAGGCATCTGATCCTGGAAGAAAAAAAACAAAGAAAAGAAGATCCAGCACAAATAAATAGACATGAATTAAGGAAAGGAGAGTAATTATTTGCTATAGAACAGCCTGCCAAAACAAGTTTTGTTCCAAGATTGATCTTGGCTGGTTTGACCCATGAACTAAACTTTGTCTTCCCTCATTTATATAACTTTTCCCGCATATGGGGGAGCACAGACAGTGAGCAGATATGAAACTGATCAAGGGCTAAGTTCCTGGTCAGCCATGGAAACTTACCGGTGACTTTAGGCCAATTATTATTTCTCAGGCCAGCCTTCTTCCTTTGCTGAGGAAAAGTAGAAGGGGTAAGGGGCATGAAAGATTCTATGATACTGGCATGTAAACAACATTTGTAAAATCATTCCAGAATAGCTGGAGAAAGGACAAATGTGTTTCTGTATAGTGTCACAGGGGGGCAGAAGTGCTATATAATGATGATAAACCCCAACATGATATTCATCCAGTTTCTGATCAAGTCACAGAATGATTTGATTTGAAGCCTAGCCTTGAAAGGAGTAAACTGAAGGAGCCACAGTGAATGGCTACTATCCATAATCTTTAATTATATTAGCCTTATCTTAATTTTATGGAAAATATCGTAATATTGGATATTTTTCTCAGAGAGTGGTATCTTGGAAAAAGAAATAGATTCTTACATGCAGGCAATATAAAGATAGAATCTCCAAATAAAACTAAACAACAAAACAGAAATTTTCAGGGATACTTGAAAATAACCACCTGATTATTTTTATGGTTAAGTCCTCATACAAAAAGAAGGAAAATCAAATTATGTTTATTTTATTTTTTTTGCAAAACAGTTTACCATTTCTTATCTATTTAAAGAAATTGCTAGAAGCATAACCATTATATTTAATTTCATAAACGGCAGATTATTGCAACTAAATTATTTAATCTGCCTCCCAAGCACATATTTCCCCCCCAATCTGAAACACTTTCAAAATTAAACATATTTTTTAAAAAAAATGATAAGAGACTTGATATAGTGTAATTGGAGCATGATCAGTTAGACAAAAAGGCAATAAATATAAAATATAATTTTTAAAAAATTCTTAGCAGATCTACACATGGAAAAAAAATTCTTTAGGCTATTAATCAATTTGAGTTGGCATTGTCCTCCCAGCTTTAATGCAGTGTAATTCAGTGTATATTAAAAGCTCATGAGTCTCTTCAAAGGAAATATAGCAGTTCATCAAGTTTCTTGATAGCTGGTTTCACAGTCTTAATTGGGACGAGAACATTTTGTCTTCATTTGCACTATTGCAAACTATTAGTTTCTCCTACTGAGTTATTCATTATTTGACTTGCTACCAACAGAAACACCTTCACTTTCACTGTCTTCATATTTACAGATTGCAAGTCTTGATTGTTTTATTTTGATAGGCATCTGAATGCAAAGTAATTGATCTTGTTTGTAATCTTTCTTCTCATGGACTACAGATGTTGACATATTTCTCTTCATATTGCTCATAGTTTATTGTATTGTTTAACCTCTGTTTAGTTTTGGTTATGATTAGGGTTAGGGTTAGGGTTAAGGTTTCTTTATGGTCTGTCTACTGGTAGTCCTTGACTTTACAACCACAACTGAGCCCAAAATTTATGTTGCCAAGTGAGACATTTGTCAAGTGAGTTTTGCCCCATTTTAAGACCTTTCTTGACACAGTTGTTAAGTGAATCACTGCAGGTGTTGTTAGTAACCCAGTTGTTAAATGAATCTGGTTCCCCATTGACTTTGCGTGTCAGAGGTTTGCAAAAGGGGATCACATGACCCCAGGACACTGCAACTCTCATAGATATGAGTCAGTTGCCAAGCATCTGAATTTTGATCATGTGACCATGGGGAGGCTGCAATGGTTGTGTGAAAAATGGTCATAAGGCACTTTTTTCAGGGCTATTGTAACTTTGAATGGTCACTAAATGAACTGTTGTAAGTCGAGGACTACTTGTATAGGGAATCTTGCCTATCTTACCTTGCTTGTTTCTCCAAAGTTTCTCTTTCTCTTTTCTATCTCCAAATGCCCTGGATTCTGCACACCCTCTCAGTATTGCTGAGAATTCTAAGGCTGTAACTCTCTGCAAGTTTTAAAACTTCTAAAAATAGCTCACTCTGTCACTTGAATCCCTGATTTAAAAAAGGGGGGGGGGAAAGAAAAACTGTGTCTTTCCATGCCTGCAAATATCAGGGACATAATAATTTGTTATTAAAGCTGGTTTATCCCATGCAGAGGAATAGTTGCTTTTCTCTTTTTTTTCTTTCTTTTTCTTTTCTCTTTTCTCACTTTTCACTTAAAAAATATAAAAACGGTTTCATTTTCACAGCTTTCTTTTTTAAATCTCTTCTGCAAAATTTATGAAGAGCTTAAACACTTCTTCCCGAATATTTCATGCCCAAACTCAGTTCTCAGGTTAAATGTGGTTGGTGATTTTAAAGTCCCCGTTTATATTCTTTTTCACTGTTTGTTGTTTTTCTGGCTCGCTTTCAGTCGCTTTGGCCAAAATGTGTGTTAACGAGTTAGGAATGCTTTGAGGTTTGCAGACTTTCTTCCAACAACAGGGAAGACGCTGGTGTTGCTTTTAACTCGTTCCTTCCCACCAGAATATGGAAAAAAGTATCTCACAATTGTCTATGGAGATTCTCAGTTATCCAGGTCAGGGTTGTCCCAAAGGTGCTTTTTCAAAAGGCAGCCAGACTTTGTTTTTCCTCATGGGTCTTTCATATTACAAGCCACCTGTCATGGTTCAGGATTTAGGAAGGGGGCTTAACCTCCTGCATTCTCAATTAGAGAAAGAAAGAAAAACAGGCTTGTCTGTTTTTCATTTTTATTTTTTGCTGTTCAGGCATTGACTAAATTGCAACATTGCAGCAAATTTTAATATTCTGGAATTGAACGATATTGCCTGCTCAGATATATAGAGTAGACAGACAACATGGACACGAGGGCAAAAAGACAGAAATAAAATTGGTTCTGGATAGTTTTGGCTTCCAGGATAAAACATATAGGGAAGATGAACGATAAAGCAATGGCAGGATGTGTCCTGCAAGAACACGATTCAGTATCACAAGCTGGATCACAAAAACTTTATTACCACCAATGGCCAGCGTAAAACAACAGAATATAAAAAGGGTATAAGACTAGAGGCAGTTTGGACTAGTGGTTAAGACACCAGTCTCCAATCAGGAGAGTGTGAGTTCTAGTCCTGCCCTGGGCATGAAAATCAGCTGGGTGACCAGTCACTCTTTCTCAGTCCAACTTGCACCACAGGGTTGTTGTTGTTATTGTTATTGCAGGGAAAATAGGTGGAAGGCATATTAGGTATGTTCACTGCTTTGAGTTATTGATAAAAACAAAATGTGGAAAATAAATAAACATAGTCGTTGACTTACAACAGTTCGTTTAGCGACCCAACAGCACTGAAAAATGTGACTTATGACCGTTTTTCACAGTTGCAGTATCCCAAGGTCATGAGGCCACCTTTTGTGATCTTCTGATAAGCAAAGTCAATGGGGAAGCCAGATTCACTTAGCAACCCGGTTCCTAACTTGTCAACTGGAGTGAATCACTTAACAACTGTGACAAGAAAGATTGTAAAATGGGCAAAACTCACTTAACCAATGTCTCACTTAACAACAGAAGTTTTGGGCTCAGTTATGATCGTAAGTCGAGGACTGCCTGTAAATGCAAAGGATGCAGTGTGGGAAAAACAGACCTTCGGATCTATCATAGGGAATCCAGGTCTAAGTAAGAATCAAATTCAAATACGGTTAAAATGTATTTTTGTGTTTTACAAAAAATCCTCTATATAAATAAATAAGAAAGGAAGTTCAGTAAGGAAATAAATATAAATACATACACTTACTAGCCTCTTAACCATTAAGAAACCCTTTGGAACCTGCTTACAATACTAAACTCCGAATAGGGATGGGGCAGCTAATTTGAAAGAAACAGCACCTGAGTGATTGACTCCCTAATCTGAAGAAAGAGTATTTTGATGCAATTGTTTACCTGTGATATTTCCCTATGACACATGGGTAGAGTTTCTAGGGAGTGTCCTAGCTTTCTCACCACACACAATCTCCTGCACTAGCAAAGGATTTTTGAGTCATGTGTGTCCCATGTTACCTGTGTTCCATTTATTAGGCCCCTAACTATAATTTGACTCTGAAGAGCTGTTTGTGAGTGGGTAGGTGGTCTACTGGTATATGTTGCTACTACTGAGGTCCTTGTTATGCAGGAGCTGATTCTTGCATGCCTGGATCAGGAATGTTTGCTCCTTTGTGTATTGAACCTAGTATGGTTCTTAATCCAAGTATCTTGCTTCTTACTATGTTAACCTCTGAAAAGACGTGTGGTCAGATTTGGGCATTTTATTGCTGAAAATCAGTTTTATTATTTATCTTTATTTATTTAGTTTCCATAGCTGCCAACTCACCTAAGCTTACAATTCTAAAATTACAAAACATTTAAAATAATCTAAAAAATATCAAAATAATAAAAACATCCACAAAATAAGTGTAAGCAGCAGCTGTGAAGATTAATCAAGTAATAGTAAAGCCAAATGACAGGGCTCTTAACACATTCGGAGCCCCACGCCCACATATATAGCCAAATGGTTTGTGAAAAGTCAAACAGGGTTTTGTAGTCAGAGTGGCTACCAGAAAAAGAGAGAGGGGGTGGATGGGTGGGGGGAGGGAGAGGGGGGGAGGGGGAGAGGGAGAGGGGGAAGGAGAGAGAGAGAGAGAGAGAGAGAGAGAGAGAGAGAGAGAGAGAGAGAGAGAGAAATGGGATGCATCTGGGCTGTGCCATTCCTCTTCTGCTGTCATGCATTATATGTGGATATGTTACTTTAATAGATAAAATGTGGTTGCCATAATTCTCCCTCACAGAGCCAAATGAAGCGTGGCAATTTTTTCGGTGCCTTTGAGTCAGCCTTGAGTCCTGGCTATTGCCTGGACAAAGTCTCTGCAGTTTTCTCAGCAACATTTTGCCATTGTCTTCTTAGGGCCGAGAGAAAGTGACCGGCTCAAGGTCACGCAGCTGGCTTTGCGCCTAAGACAGGACTGCAACTTACGGTCTCCAGTTTTCTACCCTGGTGCTCATCAAACTGGCTCACCATATGGCTCATCATCTGATACTAATATTTAAAGAATGCTGCTGACTACCAAATTATTTAACTCCAGTTGAAGGTTCTGATAACTACCTAGAAAATCCATTGTAGTTTTGGATTCAAATACCTGAAGGAACACCTATTTATGTGGGCAGCATTTTAGAGAAGTGTGTGTGGGGGGTCACTTTTAACCCCATATTGGATAATGTGGTTGGGCAATGCTTTTGACTGCTTATAAAAACCTTGTTGTTCCTAGCCTGTATGCTCAGAAAAGATCTGTACAAGAGGTGCCTAATTCTGAATCTGAACTGATCTGAGAGACAACATTGATACTCTTCTACCTCCTCTGCCTTATCTTGAAAACAATCTTGATTTGGATGACTTGTTATATAGACACCCGGCTGGCTGCCATAAATTCCTTGCCTAAGACTTTTTCTTGTGAAAAAGAAATGGAAGCTTATTCCTCTCCTGACCCTGTTGCTGGAGAGTAGGTGGCAAGGAGAAAAGGTAGATATTATTTGTACATCGATTGCTTCTGCCAGGACTGAGGATGGACGACAGGAAAATCTCCAGGATTCTCTGGGGACACGGAAGGAAAAATTTTAAAAAGTGGTTTGAGAATTATTTCTCACACTGGTAGGAAGTCTAGCAAAAGTTTCAAAAATAACAGCAACATGCTGTATTTATCCAACTTCAAACCTCCTACATTTTAAGAGCATAAGAAAATTATGCTCCATAAATAGTATATATAAAGGTGCTACACTTAACATAGAGAAGTCACTGGAATTTTTCTGTTTGTATCTAACAAATCATCATCATCATCATTATCATCATCTCCTCCTCCTCCTCTTTCTTTTCTTTTACAGCTTCGGGAGTCAAGGAAGATACAAAATTCGGGTTTTTGCTGTTCTGGGGGCCTCAACCATTGTTATTTGATGCTGTTGTAGTGTGTCTTTGATGTTGTCTCTCCATCTTCTTCTGGGTCTGCCTCTTGTTCTTTGCCTTTCTCCTCTTTTTGTTTATGCCTTATATGGTATGGAATCCCAAGACATCCTCTCCATTTTATTTGCTGTTTTTGTATGCAGTTTAAGATTGATTCTATGCTACAACTCTTTCTCTTACAATCTCATTTCCGATTTTATCTCTTCTGGTCATGTTTGCTTTCCCCAAACATCTTATTTCCATGGTGACTAACTTTCATTTATGTTTTATTGTAAGTGTCCATGTTTGATACTGGTAACATAGCGTGGTGATGAATATGCTTTGTATGAAATGCTTCTTTGTACTGATTGGTACTGCCTTATGCTGTAGGAGTGGAGCTAGAGCTGTCCCAATACTTGGTTTGCCTTACTGCAACGTATGTTAATCTCTTAAATCTCATTCATTCTAACAAATATGATTAATCTGAATTCTGATCCTTTTTTTCTTGGATTAACTGTTTCCAATCTGGATTGCTAGGAGGGAAATCTATCACCATTCAGTTGATGTAACACAATGGATTTTGTGTCTAATAAAAGACCTGGCTATTCTTCCAAGCTGGAGTTAGAAAGTTAGGGGACCCTATGAGTTAGTATTAGTGCTGATAGTTGGGGGCTGCCATTTTAAATTTTTCTTGCATATTATTACTTTATTATTATATTGATGTTTTTATTTCTGTTTTCTGCCTGTGTTAGTTGTACTGTAGTGGGTTGACTGATCAAGCAGAAAACAGTACTAATCAAGGAATTCACAGACAGAGACACACCAGCACTCCACAATTTAACCCTAAACTACATATATTCTATTTCTTGTAAAATGTTTCTTGGATTAAAAAAGTTAAGGAACAAAGAGCAATGTTTGAAGTGATGGATACAGTTTTGATACAGCAGTATTTTCATGATACTGCTTGCTTTCATATTTTTAATCTGGGAGCTATCATTGCAGATATAGATCATTTTACTTAATTTTCTATGTCTTATATCTTTAATATCATCTTTGTGATTTTATAGCCATATTTATTTGTGTCATTTTTAATTGGACCAATGGCACTCTTCCTATCAAGTAATATTGTCTTACAAAGGAAAATATTTCCATTATCATGTTTAAATACATTAGGGGCTCTTTTTAGAATGCTTATAACTTTTGAAATTTGCATTTTTAAAATTTTTATTTAGTATTTTATTTGAGTTACAGTATATCTCAAAGTAATTTAAAGTAAAAATATTTCAATGAACATCTCATCCCTGGGATTGTTGAATGACGAATGGTCTATCAATTAAAATAATAAAAGAATTTTATAGTTCCAATTCTATTTTTCTTTTTTTAAAAACACCATCTTTCTGTCACTTAAGAAGGAAGATTATTATTGTAACTTCTTTGCCACTTTGCTACTTATTCCCATAAATGTGCACAGAATGGAAGGAGGTGTAAGATTAAGCTTGTAACTTAATGCTAAGATCAATTGTGCCATTAGAAGAATCCATCAACCTGGTCAGATGGAAGATGCCATAGTCTGCAGTTATCTAGTCGTCTTTCCTGAGCACCAATTTCTCCTGCTAGAAGACTAAAAAAAATTTGGCCATTGGATGAAACTGTATCCTCTAAAGCAGTGGTTCTCAACCTGTGGGTCGCGACCCCATTTGGGGTCGAATGACCATTTCACAGGATCACCAAACAACGCAGTCTGCCATTTTTTCCCCCTTTCCTTAGCTGTGCTACTCCCTTTTATTCTATTGGCTTTTGAAAGCCAATAGAATAGACTCTCTTGAATAGAGTCTAATTCTATTGGCTTTCAAAAGCCAATAGGAATTGTCCAGACTATCTCTGCCCTGCTGAGCCTGCCAAAAGTCCCATTCTGCAAACGGTGCTGCACCAGTTGAGTAGTCCTCGACTTACGACCGATTGAGTAGTCCTCGACTTACGACCGGTTGGGGGGTCACGGCATTAAAAAGGTTGAGAACCACTGCTCTAAAGTGATTTGCTACTTGATGGTATTGTGGAAGATATCAACTTACCTTGATTTTACAATAATGTCAGTTCTCTAGATGGAGCAAAGGAAGTTCATTTTATTGTCCTCACCTCAAAAAAATTGGGTGTCTTGTTCTGGCTCTGCACAAAGGAGAAGAACGAGAATTGGATATCTTTTAGGTTCTTCTTTATTTATCAGTCAAATTTATATGACTGCCCATCTCACAAATGGGAGCAATGAAAACTTTCTTCAAAAGCCATTAAGACATTAAAATGTAAATACAAACAAGTTCATGAGAGAAGGCATCAGAATCTTACACAGGACACAACCAAGGTGTGGGCTCCCTATCCGGGGATCCCCAAGCCTGTTGAAAAAAAATGTTTTGAGAGAATTGAGAGATTTTGCCTTCTGAAAAATCCTCCCCCCACACACAATCGTCATTCATATTTCATGATACAAAATTCAAGTGAAACAGAGCAGCTGTGTCAGGTTTATGAATTTTCTACTTACAGTTTATTGTAAGTAAAACTTTCCAGAGAATATTTGTGAAATGTTACCTTCAGGAGAGCTTATGGTTCTGATGCCATCTCCTGGTCTTTAGGTTTTTGGCAGCTCAACTTCAGTGGACTCTTTCATGACCCAGGTCACAAAGGGAGAAGGAAGTTTTTATTCACATATCCAGTTATAATTTTTGGAAGTCTTGCTAAGTGCTGTCTGCTTCTGTTGAGAACCTTTTTTAAAAAAAAAAAAATCTCAGAAAGGTTTCTCCTCTTAGTTGCATTACCTGAAGACATTTAATTGAAGCTTTTGGAATTGTAGCAGAGGCCTTGTGGCCTGGAACAATTATTCTACTGTTGAAAAAACAGTCTTTCCCAGCAGTTGTTAATGAATTATATATGGGATGCACTTGGCCAATCCTAGATTTTTAATATGCACCTGACATTTGAGAAGTCCAAGTATACATACTTTCCACACTATGATTTTCCTCATGCATATAATTTGCCAGCGTCTTTCTGGGAACAAAGTATGTAATTAGAAAGTCAGAGAAAGAGCTGGAAGCATTGCCAGAATATTCTGAAGTCAAACTTCGCTAACGTCTGCAACATAGAAGAAGAAAAAGACAGGACAGCCTTACCATAATTTTCTACAAAGACAAAGGATTCGTTTGAAATCCTTACTGTAAATTAAGAGCCTTATAAATGTGTAGCCATTCTATGCAGTGTATTAATACCTTAAAAGAGTCTAGTTACAATCCGAGCCTCGACACAAATTCTAAGCTGCACGTAAATCTTCCTATTTATCATTTTGTATGCTGGTGGGCGCTTCTCTTTTCCTCTTGCATGAGAGGATCTGGGTCAGGCTAAAACACAGTTAGTCTGAAGCCAGCGTTTCAGGTTCATTATTTTAACCCCACCTACTTTCATGTGATTGGATGAGGAATTCTTCCAAGTGCCTGTATGATGTAAAAAGTAGCTAGGGAACCAAAGAAAACTCAAAGAGCTGCTTCTACTGTGCTTAAGGAAACCGTACTCCTATATCCAATATAAAGGAATAACAGCAACATCTTGCCATAGACCGCATGACAAAGAATGCATCTCATCTGCCACAATCTCTTTAATGTAATTCTTCCAAGCTGCTACTTGGGAAAGTGCATTTAGACAGAGGCAGCATCAAATGATGACAAGCAGGTAATTATGACTGGTTTTATAATGATCCCCATATAGTCCTATAGTATATTGAGTATATAGTATATCGAGGAATAGACAAATCCGGAGTGATAATATGATATCTACTTTAAGCTAATGAGGTCTATTGCCTAGGAATGTGGCAAAAATATATGCATCTGGCACCAACAATTTTTTTTAGGTAAGATAAATTGAGATTTTTAGATGAAGATGACTTTGAAATTGGTAGAGATTGGAAGGCCTTCTTGTTGATTATGGAATTTATAGTTTAGGGATATTTTAAGGAAGAAAACAATGTACTGCAAGCTATTTGAATCCAGTTTGCTGCATTTAACAATGACAAAATGATAACTGTTCAGGGAAAACCACTTATTTCTGTCAAGCAAGATTGAACTGGAGCAAAGGAAGAATGAATAAAAAGGGGAGTTATGTATGTTTTTTATTTTTTTGCGTTTGAACTATAGTTGACTTGGTTTTTAATACATTAATTTATAGTTGTAAATTACTATAATATATAGTATTTTCTATAAGTGTGGGAAACCTTATAAGAATCTATTGTGTGTAAAATAGTACTTTGCAAATTCAGAATCAGCTGACTAAAATTCTCAAGCACTTTAGAATTACATTATTTGGAGAAGTGTATTTAATTCAGAAGAAGCAGGTTCTTTTGGGACCAAGCACATTGGAATTATCTTATCTTTTCCAGGATGTTGACGTTGTAAAATATGGGAATATTATTCATTTTATTATTCGCTGATACGATGTTAGTAAAACCATCAGCTAAACAAGCAATCTTTGATTGCTGAATTGTGCAAGGGTCCAATAATATGATTTTCATTACTTCCAGAGCAATATCTCAGGCCAAAGAAATAACCAGAAGCTGTGTAAAGACAGTAATTCTTTCTCAACAAAAAGTTCAAAGGGGGAAAAAAACAACAATGTTACACAAATTAAATTCCATCAACACCAGTGGTGGGATTCAGATATGTGAACAACCGGTTCTCTGGGTGGATGCCGCTTCTGGAGGTCCATTCTGGGCCTGAGCAATAAAAAAGTAGCTACCAATTCTGCTAAACTAGTATGAACCAGCTGAATCCCATCACTGATCAACACTACATATGTTCCTGCATACTGCAATATCATCCAAATATATTTTAAATGAAACTTTGGATATATTTTCTGATTTTGTTTTAACTGCTACAAAATATAAAGTTATATGCAGCTTTCAATATGCAAATAATCAAATAAGAAAATAAAATGACCAGTTATTTTGAATGAAAATGTTTTATAATTTCCTTTAATAAAAGCTTATTTTCTTATGAACTGTTCAGGAGATTTACCAAAGCTTTTTTACACGGGTAGAATTAAAATTATTTTAAATACAGCTGAAGATACACACATACCAGAAGAAATAATTCTGGGGCTACCACATTTTGGCTGTAAAAGTCAAACAACCCACTGTGCAAGCCAAAATTTAGAATCTTCTATTTGTCTCTGGTGCTATCTAATGGCTCTTTGGAGTACTGCAGCCCAGATGTGGTCACTGTATGAAAAGCTATAAATTAGACCTTGACATGTTACCAAGTTTGCTACTGTTGAGAAACAAACTGCTGAAATGGCTAGGGCCTCTGGAAAGAATGTCATTAGTGAAATGAACTTTCACAACCAATCTAATAAAAATAAATTCTGACCCTCCAGAACCCAATGGACGTTTAAAACGACCAATTACAGTTAGTCCTCGAATTACAACAGTTCATTTAGACCAGAAGTAGGCAACTGTGGCTCTTTTATGACTCGTGGATTTCAACTCCCAGAATTCCTGAGCCAGCATGGCTCAGCTTGGAACTCTCCCTTTCCCCTCAGCATGGCTGGCTCAGGAATTCTGGGAGTTGAAGTCCACGAGTCATAAAAGAGCCAAGGTTGCCTACCCCTAATTTTGACAATAGCACTGAAAAAAAGTGACTTATGACTGCTTTTAACACTTACAACCATAGCTGCATCCCCACAGTCACATGATCAAAATTCAGACTCTTGGCAACTGACTCGTATTTATGACGGTTGCAGTGTCCCAGAGTCATGTGATCACTTTTTGCAACCTTCTGACAAGCAAAGTCAATGGGGGAGCCAGATTCACTTAACAACCGTGTTACTAACTTAACAACAACAGTGTTTCACTTTAAAAAGTGTGACAAGGTATGTTGTAAAATGGAACAAAATTCATTAACTGTTTCATTTTGCAAGATAAATTTTGGGCTCAATTGTGGTTGTAAGTCAAGGATTACCTGTATGAGAAATATTATCACATTGCTATATCACTGTAGCAGAAATGGTAGCAATATTGACTTTGCTAACATTAACATTCTGACTTCTGAATTTTAACCACACTAAGAGTTGTTACTTCATGGGAACTTTAGCTGTGATTTGGATTTGTTTTATTCTGAACCATCCTGGAAAACATTAGATTCAAGGTCAGACAAAATATCTAAAATTAAAGGCATGCCCTCAACACAGAAGTAGTAATCATCAAACCACAAGAGATCCAGATGTTATGAGTTTGTTTTCCATTCATTCTATGCAACTTAAAGTCAGATTTGGGGAATAATTAAGATAATCTTATCAGGACAGTGAAGAGGCAGATCCATTTTGGTTTATCATCATTCAAAACCAGAGCATAACTGTGGTGAATTTGGCAAGAGACCATGAGGCAAAGATAGCTTGCATTTGTCTGATTTCAGACATTCTATCTGGGCTCCCGTTTTGCTTGCTTTTTACTATCTTTTATACAGTAAATCCAGTGCAAATTGGGAAATGAAAGATGAAGTAGTTGCATCTGTAAGTGGGCCCTTTGCTTGTGATAAATGCTCTTTGGCTCCATAGGTCTCAAAAGGCTTTTAAGCAAGGAACACTTAGGCATAGTTAATGAAGCATCCATACATGGAAATGTAAATAAACCAGTTTTGGTGTTACATAAGTAATTCCAGTATTTAAGGAATGCTGTATAGGTTGGGGAATGGTAATTTTGTCGGGCCACACAGGGTGAAATCACATCAATCTTAATAGTAACCCTTCCATCAATATACCTGACGTTCAGTTTTTTTTTTCTTAAATGTGTTTGACTTAGCTTTTTACAGATACTTTATCATTTAAGAAACTATTAAGACTTGGAACAAAATCAACTGGGAGACTGCTTTTAATGTTTCCACTTAAATAAGATCAGCAGTGGAGCGACACAACATGTATGGGAGAATTGCCTACCAAATTATATCCTTTTAAAAAGTAAAATTCTGTTACTCTAATATTCATGTAACAGCTATAATTCCATTTTTATAACTCCTTCAAAATTTTATAAAAGTATATTTGATACACATTGGAAAATATGAATGATATTTGTTGCAAACATCTGTTCTATGCAATAAATATCCTTGCAGATTGAATACAGACTAAATTTGTTACTTTTAAATCCCATTTAAAACAGTGTGCAAAATAATTCATGGATTATATTTCATTGGTGGTGCCAATAATCAAATACAATCACTTCTTAGTTTATATGACACTTAATCACGTTTCTCTATTCTGAAGAAATCAAACAAAATAAAAGGGGGAGAGGGAACCTCACATATTAAGTTAAATTAAATATAATTTTGGAGAAAAGCAGGGCATGTGCAGTTGTCAAACATTGTTAAGGATATATATATATATATATATATATATATATATATATATATATATATATTTGCAGTACTTGAAGGTAAGCATTTAGAAAATATGTTCCTTGGGTGAAACAAACTGTTTAACCTGCATGAGAAGCACGAAACTGATTGTGCTATTGTGAGTAAAATGATTGTTCAGCCATTCCAAGCTGTGATTGCCAGCCAAAAAATTGGCTCAGCATCAGTGCACCTCCCCTACATGGTTCCTTTCTCTACTTTTCCGTGGAAGACAGTTGAGTGCAACTTTTAACATAATCACAGTGTTTTAAAATGCTTTTGGGCAGAAGATAGTTCAGATCAGGTCCGAAATCAAACTAATTTGAAAGAGGAATTTGCAGACCAACCTAAAGCTAACTGGGAAAGCATATAGTTACTGTGTAACTCTATCCTTAGGGACAGATGGAAAAATATATAGGCATGCAATCTGCTGCCCCCTGTTCTGTTTGTTTTGACTCCCTGCTGAATGGTGCTGCCCTGATTATGGATAAACAACATGTCATCAGCAATGGGGTTTATCTGACTGCAGGATTCTCTTCATCGTCTGTAAGTTTCTCCTTTGCTTCTTTCTCCTATTCTGTCATAGCCTGAATTGAATAACATCAGAAACAAACAAACAATTGGAATTGCAGAGGTGGCCAAATCACAAGTATAACTTTTATTTGAGATTTCTCTCTCGGGCCTTCCCTTCTTTTATCAGTGCAACAATGTGTGAGTCCTGGATTCTTCTATAATTCTTATTCAGGAGTCATTGGGGAGAGGTTATGGGTTTACTATCCCAGCTTTGTGTTAAACTGGCAGTGGAAACAGTTTTGAAGCTCTTCCAACAGGCCTGGACTTCTTATACAGTTTTAATAGATGTCTGGCACAGTCCTGCTGCATCCAGCTCTTTAGGAGACAAAAGGAGAAGAATGAGGGAAGAGGACCAGAAAGGAAGGTCAGGCATGGATCATCTTGAAATGGTCAGAAGCATCTGG